AGTCATGATCCTTGGTATAACCTTGAAAATGTACATATGAAAGAAAATAATATGCTTTTTTATTTTTTTCCTGCAAAGGCTAATAGGATTTTTAAATGCATTGTTTTTCTTCCATTGGTTATTTGTTCTTCTTCTTGTTATTAGTTGCTGAGACTTAAAGAAATTCTATAAGAAGAATATCTTAATTTAGATGGAATAATAGGGCCATTGGCAGATTACGCCAACAAGTGCTCATATAAATGAAAATCAAACTATTAATAACATTAACTAAACATTCAAATAAGCCATCCGCAGGCAAAATTTCAGAGCACTCCTACATAATCAGGGAGGAGTACAATTTCATATTGGATGATCTACGATTTCCAGAGGCCTGCCAGGGTATTGTTTGCCTCCATTCTTGCTTCTGGGAAAACTACGGTTTCAAATTTCCCTGCCATTGAAAACAATGCTATCTCTTTGCTTGGAGACCAAATCTGGAGGGTCAATGGGGATGAGAAATCTTTGGCTTCCTTAGCATGACTTTGATAGAGGAAATACCATTAGTGGTATTTGTTCTGTCCTCACTACACGTTACCTTATGAGTAGCTCAACATGCAGCTAAACCTTCCTATCCTTCAATAAACCAGACTCTGTGCATAGATTTTGATACTTTATTAAAGAACAGGGTGAGGTGAAACGGAGATATTATGTACGGATGACTTTGAGGAAACATGGATTTTGTCCTCCAATGAATATGCATCGTGGATTAGGCTGGATTCTTCTAGATGTTTCTGTCTCCTCAGAACATTAAAAAATGGAGTCTGGCTTCTCAGGATGCATCCTTCCCCACCCCCCAGAATAAGGGATGATGGGAGGACAGGTACTCCGTAGGGTCAAAATACTACTAAAACCAACTTTCTAAACAATGAAAGGTTTGCCATTAGATGTTAGAGAACAATAACACCATATACATATACAAACTCTATCCTGGAGGCATGACAGTATTCATATAATCACAGATCACATTCACAAGATATGGTGGCCTGAGTCAACTGCAGCCCTGAGTAATTCTGCAATACTAATAACACATGGGAATGAAACAATCATAAGTGTAAATAGCACGATTATTTCTGAAATCATTCCACTTTTCACTCAGGTAGAATCAACCAAGATATAGGGACCCCCACTCCAAGTATTTTAGATGCAAAAGCAGTCAATTTGACCATCTCAGCAAGTACCATCACATTCCATTTCCCCTTTGTGGGTAAACTTGAATCCATTTTTGTGTATTTAATAGACTCATATATTAAAATTATTATATTGTAAATTGCCCAGAGTTCTGTATCAGTGGGATAGGCAGCATAGAAATTTAACATTTTAAATTAAAAAGTCCAGTTCAATTTGTCAAAAGCTTTCTCTGCATCCAAATAAATAATGAAACTAGTTTTTCATTATGCTGTTCAAAATATTCCAGAATATCCAACACAGCTGTAACATTATCTTTTAATTGTCTGTTAGGTAAAAACCCAACTTGATTTCACAAATTCTTATAAAATTATTTTTAATTTGTCTGCTAGGATCATTATGAACAGTTTAGAATAATTACTAAGTAGTGATATTAGTCTATAACTTCTTATCAAAGTCAAATCCTGTCCTTTGAGTATTTATATTATATTTGTATGTTTCCATGTCTCAGGTATCTTTCCTCCCTATAAAATAAAATTCATTGTATTTTGAAAAGGTTGCAAGAGATCATCCTCAAAACCAGATAATCCATACAGTCCCAACACTTTTCTTATAAGCTTTTTTATAACTTTAGAAACCTCTTATTTTTGTGAGTCCCTTCCTTATGTGTCTCTGTTTCTCTGTAATGGTTTCTTTTTTAAAAAAAAGAATATCCATTTTCTTGATAGGAATACTATGACCTTCGTACAAATTAGAAAAATACTGATGAAAGGCTTTTTGTATTGTCACATTATCCATTATTACACAATCTCCCTCTTGAAGTTTTAATATCATTTTATTTTTCTTTTCTTAATTTATATGCCAACCATTTCCATGGTTTATTTGCAAATTCAGGTTTCTTTTTTCTTTGCATAGTTCATTTTTATTTCCATTTCTTTTATCATTGACAGCTGTTGCTGTAATGCTGTAAAAGTTTAATTTGATGAGAAATATTTATCTTCCCTGGATATTTTTTTAATTCTTCTTTTCTTTCTTCTCATCCAAAATAGCCTATTTTGTCTTGGCTTTCTTTTCAAGTACAGTATGATATTGTATAACATATCCTCTCATAAAAGCTTTACTAGAATCCCAAAAAACGCTTATGTCTATGGCAGTGTTTAGGTTATTTTTTAAAAATCTTAATTTCTTTTATAGTCCTTCACCGTTGCTTCTTTCCGTGACAATATTTTATTTAGTCTCCAACTAAAAGTGGAACCTTCCTTTTTCTAAACCAAACTCACAGAGTTATAAGCAGAAAAAGTTTCTGGTAAAATCTCTACTTTAACAATTTTAGTAAATTCTTTGAAATCCAGATATACCTATTCTTGAAAAAATCTGTGTCTTTCTAAAAAGTATATTCTTTAACATTTCCATTTTTCAGTTTCCACGTACTCACTAATCGTAAATTGTCCATCATATCAAAAAAGGCATTTAGTAATTTGCCTTGATTGGTCTTGTTATTTTTTTTAGATGTCCAATGTAACTGTGGCAAAATCACTACATTCCAGTTTCCCATCAAGCATCAATTTTCATAAAAAAAACATATTAATTTCTCCATAGGTTTCTCATTAAAAGCCTCATTAGAGGTATACTAAGAGTCCCTTGGGAGTTGGGCGGCATAGAAATGTGACTAAATAAATAAATAAATAAATAAATAAATAAATAAATAAATAAATAAATAAACATTCCCAATAGCAAAGTCTTGTCCCCATATAATTCAAGTTCAACCCCAACAAATTTACCATGTTCATCAGTCAATAGCAAGTCTGTCTTTAATTGGGGATTAGCACAGATGGTCCTCACTTAGCATCTGTTTGAAGTTATAACAGTTCCCCAAAAAGGCACTTACCACCTGGATTTGAAGTTCCAATGAGCACTTCCCCTCCTCCCAATGATCTTTCCTAGCTGCATTCAGTGTGTTGTGTTGCCAATATACTCTCTCTCTCTCTCTCTCTCTTTGCTTTGTAAGCATCACAATTTTTCATTAACATAGTAAGAGCTGCCTTGCCTGGTTCATAAATACTGGATCTTTCTATAACAGTATCACAGGTATAATAGCAATGTGAAGTGAAAATAAACTGATGTTTGTATTTTAGTTTTATTTAGATTAGTGATGGGAACTAGTGGTTCTTTAATGAACCTAGTGCCTTTAAGATTACTAGTATTTTTAATTTAATATGCAATAGTTCTGGGATTTAATGTGTGAATTTATTTACTTATTTGTTAAATTTATATGTTGCCCATCTAATTTTGCAAAGTGGTGGAACAAGCATGAAAATAACGTAATCTCCAAACTCTGGTCAAGTATATCTATTTTTCTCCATCACTATTGCAAAAACCATTCCCTGCTGCCCTCCTATTTACTGAATGCTCATGAAGAAAGATTTGGTTGTTAAGTCTCTGTGTCACATACAGAAAGTCCCATAGTTAACAATTGGGATAGGCATAAATAAAGACAGGGAAAGCTGGGAAAATTGCTTAGCAGATCAATACTAAGCTAGATGGATCAAAGTATTAAGTTAGCATCAGGCAGCTTCCCATAGGGTTTTTTTTCTGCTAGTTGTTTGAATCCTTTTCCAACAAATCATGTAAAGTTGTCATATTTATGAAATGGTATTATTGCCAAAAATATAATACAGGCTGATGTCTGCTTACAACATTTATGTCATGGCAAATGATACTAAGAAACAAGAAAAACTGAGAGGTGCATTGCAACAGTGAACTCTACTTACAAATTCTTATCACAATCTAAACTGTAGGTTTGCTGCTCCTGCTCTCCCCACCACAAAAATTGATGTCCATGCCCAGGTCTCTTAAAGTTTTAAAGAGTCTGTGGATTAAATATACACATTCAAAATATAATTGTCTTGTTACTGGTTCCTAGCAGTTCCAAACGCATTTCTATGGCTGCAGTGTATGAAACTTGAGACTCTAGAAAAAAGTGCAGAGAAGAGCAACCAGGATGATTAGTGGACTGGAGACTAAAACATATGAAGAAGGATTACAGGAACTGCGCATGGCTAGTCTAGTGAAGAGAAGGACCAGGGGAGACATGATAGCAGTCTTCCAGTATTTGAAGGGCTGCCACAAAGAGGAAGGGGTCAAGCTATTTTCCAAAGCACCTGTAGGTCAGATAAGGAATAATGGATGGAAACTGAACAAGGAGAGATTTAACCTGGAAATAAGGAGAAATTTTCTGACAGTGAGAACAATCAACCAATGAAACAGAAGTTGCCTTCAGAAGTTGTGAGAGCTTCATCACTGGAGGCTTTCAAACAGAGATTGGACTGCCATTTGTCAGAAATGGTGTAGGGTCTCCTGCTTCGGCAGGGGGTTGAATTAGATGACCTACAAGGTCCCTTCCAACTCTGTTAAATCTGTTAAACAAGTCAGGTATGGGCAGGGGAGATACTGAAGGGGTGGTGTCATTGGAAGTTGAAAGGTATCAATCATCACAATTCTTTTCCATCTATTAAGGCCTGGTTCTTGGGGTACCATCCATCATTAATCTGTTAGATGATCTAGGCCTAGGGGGAGAGAGAGAGAGAGGCAGAGGGATGTTGAAGCTACTTTATATCCCAAGAGCTTTGGATATTGTTGATAATGCTATCCTCTTGGATAATTTCTTTCAGTTAAGATTCAGGGGGTGCTTTCCATTCCTTTGAGCAAGTTGTCTCTCAGAAGAGTACTGAGAGTACCACTATCATCAGGCACTTTGGAGTAGGTGTCATCCATATGATGACTTTCAGCTTTACTTCTCCATAACACCTGAATTAGGAGGGGCTCTGCATGTTGGGATGAAGGCCAATAAAATGGAACTGAATCCTAATGAGACAGATCTTGTGGATGGATATGTAGGTATTCGTGGCCATATCCATGAGTCTGAAATGTGTGCCTCACCTACTTGTGCTGAATATCAGGACATAAGTATGTAGTAGCAACTTCTACCAACACTTTAGAGTCAAATTTTTGGCAGGGTAGGATGTTTCCTAGATATGACAGCTTGTTTGCCTGTTTTCAACAGAGTTGCCCTCTCTCAGAAAAAAAGCAGATATACAGTTCGGAGTGGAATGGTTTCAGAGTAACTCCTGCCATTGGAGGTCCAGGGACCTCTGTAGTTAGTACCATCCGTTGTCAACTTGGGTTGGTAAAAATGGTAGATTGTTGAATGCAAGTAGAGGATAAAACAGAACACAGCCTTATCGGGAAGCTGAGTAGAAAGAGAATTTGGTAGGAAAGTGAGATGGGGAAAGAGGAAGAAGGTGTTAACAATTGGAAAGAATTTTTAAAAGAAGTTTAAAAAAGGAAAATAAGACAATCAGTGGAAAGGGACGAAAAGGAAAGAATACCAGTAGCTTCTGTGAAACATCAATTATCCTTCTGGAATTTTGTACCTCTAAATAGAAACAATTAATATTGTCTGTTTATACATTACTATTAAATAAATGCTTACCAACAAGTGTTCCTCCTCATAAAAGTGGCACAGCATATAATCCCGTCCCTATGTTTAAAATACTATGCTACCAGAAAAGTAGCTGATAAGAGAAAAGTTAAAATCAGTGTTAAGTTTACTGTTTCAGGATGATGGAGATATTTTAAACTACCGGTATATGCAGTGTATTCTATGTAAAGTTATTCTTGTGTCTGGACCAGAAGCTGAAGATGATGTAATATGGGGTAGCCAGGTGGACTGAATAGAGCTTCTGACAGTATTCATGCTACAATTTTACTAAAGCAGCTGCAGATTGACTAAATGAGGTTTACAGTTTTTCTCCTGTGATATGTAAATCCTAAACAACTTCAATCTAGGATTCCTGATGGATTGCCTTTTACATTATAGGCTGGCACAATTGCCAAAATTGTTTGAAAAAATCCTCCTGTGTGTCCTGAGAACTGCCAAGTGTAGTATGAGGAGACTATATATTACATGATGCATGAATTCATTTGAGGTATCATACAATATAGGTATATGAAGGCTCAGTAATCTACATATCCATTAAAAAGAACTTGCACCAACTATAGATAGTCCCCAATTTATGACAATTGGGACTGGAACTTCTATCAACTAAGAGAGGTGGTCATTAAGTGAGTTGCACTAATATTAGGACCTTTTTGCTACAGTTGTTAAGTGAATCATGTGGTTGTTAAGCAAATCCAGCTTCCCCCGTTGACTTTGCTTGTCAGAGGTTGGCCATCATGTGACCACTGGGATGCTACAAACTATATAAATGCATGCCGGTTGACAAGCACTCAAATTTCGAACATGAGACCACAAGTAGAGCCTTGATAGTACAGTGGTCTACGCACCCTGTTATTAACACAGCTGCCTGCAATTTACTGCTGGTTCGAATCTCTCCAAGGCTCAAGGTTGACTCAGCCTTCCATCCTTTCTAAGGTAGGTGAAATGAGGACCCAGTTTGTGGGGGCAATAAGCTGACTTTGTATAAATATACAAAAGTATGAAGGCTATTGCTTAACGCATTGTAAGCCGCCCTGAGTCTCCGGAGAAGGGCGGCATATAAATCAATTTTTTTTTAAAAAAAAAAGTACATTATGATTGGCATAAGTGTGAGGACTGGCTGTATGTCACTGTTTTCAGTGCCTTTGAACAGTTACTAAACAAATGGTTGTAAGTTGAGGACTATCTGTACCTGCTCAGAAATGTCAAATTTTGATAATTAAAGTGGAAAGCTAAGCTTTGAAAAATGAATACTCTACCAATTCATGCTAACAACATTTCATTAATGTACTTATTGGATTTATTAACCAATAATCTAAAGGCCCTCACAATATAGCAGTAAGTCATAAGAAAAAAAACATTTGCAGTAAAAATGTAAGAGTAATTTTAAAGACTATTCCCCAAACCACAGTACATTCACACAACCTAGGCATCATTGCTTCACCAAAACCCCTCCAAAACGACTCCATTTTCAATTGTTTCCAAGAGGTCAGAACTTTATGGGCCAACCCCAGTTCAAGTAAGAAGCCATCTCAGAAAAGCAGCGTTTACATGATTCCATAGTACAACCATGTCAAACTCGCAGCCTGCGGGCCAGATTTGTCACGGGCTGGCTACGCCCACCCCATTTTAGCAAAGGGAAAAAAAGTTGTGATATGTCACGTGATGACGTGAGTTTGACATCCCTGCCCTAGTATGTACCTCATGGAAATAGGCAACTTTCAGCCATTTATCCTGAGGCAAAATGAGTCAGGCAGGTTGATTCTAGTTAGGGAAGGCAATTCTGAAAACCTTAATAACAGTGGTGGGCTGCTACAGTAGCGGTGGCAGCGGGAAACTCCGCCCAGCCACTCGGACGCTTCTGTGCATGCGCAGAAGCGTCACGCGCATGTGCGCCCACGAGCAAACCAGTAACAATGGGTTTTAAAACCCGCCCCTGCTTAATAAGGTATCTTCAACAGGCAAACTAGTGGTAGCAATTAAGCAGAAAGCGGGGGCAGTCAAGACTGCTAAATATAGACTTTCTATAACATGCAATTGTACATATGCTTATTTATTTACATTTTGCTTATGTGGTTCATCAGAAAGCCACAAGGATCAAAAAAGGCGGTGTAGGTCAATGGAAATCATGTCTTTCCCCTGCTGGAAATCCCACTGAGCCCTACCTGTGGCTTCCAAGTTCCCACCAGGCATTGCCTACTTGCCTTTTCAAACTTATCTTTCCAGACAGGAGATCCTGGAAGAACTTTCTAAAAATGAAAGCTGTATTCTCAGAAGAATGCTGCCTCTGCATTGGACAAAGATATTTGGGATATGGATTTAGCATCCTGAGAATAAGGATACAATACAGCTTGTTCTGCTTCTATTTCTAAAAGGTCCTTCTCTGTAAAACCCATTTGGAACAGGAATAATTACACCAAGAACATTAATGCATCTGTGGACATTCACAAGATTCTAACTTCCACTAGAAGAGAGCGCCGGACAAAAAGCAGAAAGAAAAATAAATGCCATAAATACAACAAAAAGACCAATTGTAACAGAATTACACTGATCTACCTTTGTTCATATTCTGCAGGTGGGAAGATGCAAAAGGCAAAAACTACCAGGTGCAGAACATTATTTGTCAAGCTGATTACCAATGCATTTCAGGCATACCAGGGCGCCTTCCTCTGCCAATTATCACCTCCTTTTCTCCTATGCATCAACCTGCAACAAGGGAGTTTAAATTTTCTCCAGTAAAATTATCTGCGTTCTGCATTTGGAAAACTCTGACTGTGCTTGTCAGAATAAAATATTTAAGTAGGACGCCTGTTCCATAGACATTCCAAAATATTCTCCATTTTAGAAGATGATATATAGGTTTGGCAAATGTGGTGCATAACAAGCATCAGAAGACAGACTTAATTGTCAGAGGGAATTAATTTGGGAAATATGGTAGAAATAATTTTTCCTCTCCAGAAAAAATATCTGTGAGAAATTTGATCTCCAATTATGTGCACAAATCATGTTTGTGTGTATAGTTTGCACCTCTGTTGTACTTTTTCATATTGTGACTTCTTAAACAATGCAATTGTTTAAATGTGCGCAGATATACCAAACAGTAAAATTACTTTATGAAAAATTAAAATGGATGAATGTTCATACCATAAACAATAGGGCTGTGTAGCATTTTAGATTCTATTACAAAAAGATACTTAAAAGCATGTGGAAATGTGATCTTAAAGAATAAGAGAAGAGAGAGCAAGGGTGATAATCCATTAAGATTATAATGGAAGCTGGCACGTCTCTCATTTTATCACAAATTAAAAATGTGCTTGTAGGTCAATTGAGTAAGTTTCAACAACAAAATTAAAGATTTAACATAATTAAATTGATCCTAGACAAACAATATTGTTTAGGAGTAAAATTGGATTCCTGTAGGACTGGTATTAACGATAAAGGTCAGAGACAAGGAAGATGGAGGTTAGATTGCCATCACTAGAAACAGAACTGCATAAAAATAATTTAAAGCTAATAGAATTACCTGACAATTTTGGAACAGAACAGTTAGAAAGAAAAATGGAAAATTTACTCAAAGAATAACTTGGATAACTTGGCTACATCAGGAGGAATGATTAGAAATTCCGAGACAGCATTAAGGAACTTATTTTATAAGACTCTTTTGCCTAGTTTAGTTACATTTACATGTTTATCCTCCCAAATTCACATTCTTTAAGACAATGGACGCAATATTAGAATGATAAAAGAAAGGGCATGATATTCCTTTAAAACTTTAGATTTTATCAGATGTTCCAATGGACATTGGAAAGAGATCTGAGATTTCTAAGATTTATTCTATAAGAAAGGAAAATCGGATAGAGACAGGCTATTCCATTTTTTTCTGGAGGTCTTTATGGATGGAAGTACAGACTATCCTCATTTAGTGACTGCCTCCTTTAGTAACAGTTCACAATTATGAAGTGATGCAAAAGTAATTTTATGACTAATCCTCGTGTTTACAACCGTTGCAAGTCTACAAAAAAAGGAAAGCAGAAGTCAGATCTTAAGCACAGATCTTAAGCAGTGTCACTTAGCATCTGTTCACTTAACAACTGAGTTGTCAGTCCCAATTTTGGTCGCTAAACAAGAACTAGTCTTTGTAAATTCAATAGAGAATTTTAACAACAGTTGAGTCATTACCTGTTACAGGACTGATTTTTTAAAAAAAGATCAGAACAAGCAGAAATTCAAAAACTGTATCAAGCAGCATTTTTTCTTCATAAATTAACCTGCTGACTGGCACCATGGGTCAAGTTAAAATATTTTCAACTAACATTAATTGACTGAATAATCCACTTTTTAAAAAATGATCTTTTTGATCCTAAAAAGAAAAACAGGAAAAAAAGGAAAAAAATCCTACCCGTCTCAGGTAGATTTAAAAAAAAGTAATATGTTAGAAATTCATTGTGGAATCTGGAGAAGCCTCAGG